TCTCTCCAGGCCTTCCGGAAAGCCGTCAAAACCTGGCTGTGCCGGCAGGCCTGGGGGTGGTGAGTTCCCCTCCCCTCTCGACTGGTATGGCTGTGTGATTTTCGTGTATTTTAATTATGTGTATTGTTGTTTATGTTCCCTTTCCCCTTTGAGTTGTTCGCCGCCCTGAGTCCCTCCTGGAGAAGGGCGGCATACAAATAAACCAAAACTGAAACTGAAACTGAAACTGAAACTATCCTGTCAGAACTGAAGAAGCTTCTTGGATGAGAAGCGAAACATCTTCAAAAGAAAAAAAAACAAGTTGCCTCCTGGGAAAAAAAAACACTTCGGAGTCTCAGAAAGGAGATGACAGCTGGAAAGACCTGGATTCTAATCCCCCACTCGGCATGACCTCCCTTAGGTGACCTTGGGTGAACAGTGCCCAAGTGAACTCTTAACAACAAACGGGCGTGGAAAGGTATGTGTGCCCCCTGGAAAGATATGAAATCATCTAACGAATGCAATTTGTAGGCAATGCTGTGTATTTCTGCTTGGTTGATATAATGGGCAGAAATAACACTGCTGCGGTTCTAATAAAAGCCAATCCCCTTAAATGTAATACATGAATTCTGGCTGTACTTCTCCAAGTAATGTCCTAGAAAGAATGGAGAATTTTTCTTTCTTAGGAAAATTGCTTCTTAATGGCTTCGTGGAATGTCTGGTTTATGTCTGTATTTCTTTATTGGGAGCTAATGATTTGGAAAGATGTGCAGCCATGTTGGACCGAAATGCTTGGGAGGGGAAACCCATCCATCTTTGGAAGGTGATGTATCTTCTTCTTTCCCAGCCCTTGCAATAAGCCTGGCACAGAACCGGGCCTCTGCAAAGAAAGCAATTGTGGAAACAAATTAAAAAGGGAAAAGGGGATGAGAGACAGAGAGAGCTTCAGGGATGTGCTGAAGATACATCTGTGGAACTTTGCTGGATAGCAGATGCACTGTCTAGTAAGGATGAATTTTTATTTATTTGTATTTCATATTTCCTAACCGCCCATCTCCTTCAGAATATCTCTGAGAGTGAGAGAAGTTAAAAGAGTGAGTGTTTTTTCCAGCTGAATAGAGATCGTTAGTGATCAGATCCGGTGGTGAAATTAATTTTTTTTTTACTACCGGTTCTGTGGGGAAAGATATTGCAAAATCTCCATTCCCATCCCACTTTGGGGTCAGCCAGAAGTGGCATTTGCTGGTTCTCCAAACTACTCAAAATTTCCACTATCGGTTCTCCAGAACCTGTCAGAACCTGCTGGATTTCACCCCTGACCAGATCGGTAGGGCTTGCTGAGAACTGACAGACAATCAGAACACGCTCTTCTTCACCAATAGCGAAGCAGAGATGTCCCACCCAGGAAGAGCCAAGCATTTGTCCAGAATTGGTAGTCCTTAACTTACAACCACAATGGGGACCAGAACTTCCATGGCTAAGCAAGGTGATTGTTAAGGAAGTCCCTCCTAATTTTATTACCATTTTTGCCACCGTTGTTAACCAAATCACAGCAGTTGTTAAATGAATCATGAAGCTATGAAGGGAATCCAGCTTGCCCCATTGATTTGGCTTGTGAGAAGCTGGCAGGGGGGGGATCAATAACGGCAATCAGTCGTTATTGATCCCCAATCAGTCCCCCCCCCTCATATCCTGCACCTGTCATAAATACATGCCAGTTGCCAAGTGCCTAAATTAAGATCACGTGAGTGTGGGGATGTTGCATTGGTCTTAAGTGTGAGGACCAATCATGTCACTTTTAGCAGTGTCATTGCAACTTTGAATGGTCTCTAACTGAACCGTTGTAAGTCAAAAACTACCTATGCAGGTAGTTACAACTGTTCAATTAGTGACAGTTCTAACTTATAGCAGCAATGAAAAAAAATGACTTATGACTGCTTTTTACACTTACGACCCTTGCAATATCCCCATGGTCATGTAATTTACATTGGAATGCTTGACAACGGGTTCACATTTATGATGTCCCAGGGTTACGTGATCTCCTTTTGTGACCTTCTGACAAGCAAAGTCAATGGGGAAGGCAGATTCACTTAACAACTGGGTTGCTAATTGAAGACCTGCGGTGATTCACTTAACAAATGTGGCTGGAAAAGTCGTAAAATGGGACAAAACTCGCTTAGCAAATTTCTTACTTAGTATATATTTTGGGCTCAATTGTGGTCGTAAGTCGAGGACTACCTGTATTGTAATTCATATGCCAGAAACCAATCTCTTTTCCAAAAGTTAAAAAAAAACCAAAACACTGAAAGTGCCTGTCCACTTTGGTAACATTTTTCCTTCACAGATAAGAATAGTTTGTCCATTTTACTCATCCGTATTGTCTTGCTGTTACAATGTGGGTCAGGAGCTGGGCAGGACAGACATCATGATGTTGGATAACTATTTGCCTGAAGTGGTGTAGGGTTTCCTGCCTGAGCAGGGGGTTGGACTAGAAGATCTCCAAGGTCCCTTTTAACTATGTTATTCTATTCCCGTGATGGCAGAGGTGGCATGTGGAGCCATTTGTTAGGGCACACGAGGTGTTGCCCTGTCAGCTCCAGCGCACACACACATGCTGGCCAGCTGACTTTGGCCTTCATTTTCGCCTGTTTTTCGCCCTCCCGAGGTTTTCCTGAAGCTTCCAGAGGGCAAAAAACAACCCAACGTGCAAACCGGAAGTTTGGAGAGTGACTTCCGGTTTTCCCGTAGGGCCATTTTTCGCCCTCTGGATCAGTGGTGGGTTTCAAAAATTTTGGGAACCTACTCTGTGGGTGTGGCCTCCTTTGTGGGAGTGGCTTGCCAGCCATGTGACCTGGTGGGAGTGGCTTGCCAGCCATGCGTTTTCTTTCTNGAACTGCTGACCTTTCTGATTGGCAAGCTCAGCATCTTCGCCACTGAGCCACCACTCAGAGTCATGCATAATTGAGTGGCAAAAGGTTCATCAAGTCTCCTTAATAGGTGTGTGACACTGTGTATGCCAAGGACATGTGTTGCACTCACAGCCTTCCATTAAGATGTCCTCTTAAAATTACTAAATGGACCCACGTACATTTGTAAGCTGTTTTCCAGCAAAAAAATCCCCTCAAAGCATAATAAAGTTATAGTAAAAATATATTAAACATCCAGTTATGGGTCCAGAAATAGCAAACCCCAAAACAACCAAGTCCAGCAAGCTGTGCCACAATATCATGTATACAAGCACAACAAATGATGCCCCAGACAACTTATCTGGGTATATATTGGCTATCCCAGTATTCCTCAATCTTGGCATCTTGAAGGTGTGTGGACTTCAACTCCCAGAATTCCCCACTCCAACACATCTTCAAGCTCCCAAGGTTGACAAACGTTGGGCTAGACTGAGGGCCACAGTCAAAATATTCCCCTTCTCAATACCTTTTTCACGAACAGTCAAATGGAGGGGAGAACCTGCAAGAGGATTTCTGGCAAAGAATATATCAATATTTAATGTAAGCCACGCTCTGCTTCTCATGGAAAAAGTGTTGGATACTAATCCTATTTTGTATTTGCGTCACTTCTTTTTCTTCCCTATAGTTCTTTGCAACACCCTGGGCAAAGAGTGAAATTTTTGCCATGGTGTGGAGGCGGTGGTGAGGAGGACAAAGACAGTGAAGCAGATTGTTGTGGGTGTCAGAGGAGGGCAGGCCACACTGTACACCCAGAAAAATGTTTTTTTTTCTTCCCCCCCCCCCATAAGATGGTTGGGCTGGAATTCTTAAGATTTCTGGCATTGGTCGGGCTCTGCAGTCCAATTGAGTGTTTGCCCTGTTCAGAAACCAAGCAACCCGGATCTCCTCCCTAAACAAATGCTGAGGGCCCTCCGCTCTGACCCCACCAGGAACCCTGATTCTATACCCCCCCCTTTCTCAACCTGGGGCTTTAGGGGTGTTTTGTACTGCAATCCTCCCCTTTGCTGCTGGTTATGCTAACGAGCTGATGGGAGAAGGGGCCAGGTTGCCTACTTCGGCCCCAGATGCCCAATTCAGAAAACCCCAAGCTTCCCAAGAAAGGAGAAAGTGTGTACACACACACACACACACACACAGCCACCGCGACCGCACAACCGTGACCACCCCCTACCACACAACCCCGTTGGGACGTCGAGCACGCTAACCCAGCCGGCCTTTCCCCGCTATCTCTTGGCCCGAGTGGGCAGCGCAGCGCGCTCCCCCCTCCCCCGTCGTCGGCTTCCCCAGCCTGAGCCCTTGCGGGTGGGCAGCCCAAGGTCAGCCAGAAGCCGAGGGCTGCCTCCCTGGCTCGGACCGCTGCTGCAACTGCGGGGTCCGGCCAGTCTACTTGGCCTCACACACATACACACACACACGCCCGAAACGGCAGACTTATTCATACAGGCCAGGCCGGGCGGAGAACGACCGAAACCCCAAGCCCCCGTCACAACTACCGTGCCTCCAGTCGCGGGTCGGGTCGGGTTCACACAACTACCGTGTGTGGGGCGCCTCGCCTCGGAGGCGCGGGGTCGGCTTCACACTTTTCCCCCCAGCTTGGCGTCCTCCTGACAGACGGCTTGGGCTCCAAGTCCCATCTTCTTCAGGCGGCTCTCTGAAAAGGCGCCGAGCGAGGGCCGGCAGTCACGAGGGTCTGCCTTCAAGCGCGAGGCGAGGCGCCCTCCCCCGCCCTCCCAGAGGACACCCCAAAACATTTCTCTCAATCGGGAAGACACCCTCACACACACACACGCACACATGGATCCCCGGAGATAATGACCCGCGTCAACCGAGGCTGCCCAAAGGCGCCCCTCGAGGCTGCCGCTTACTCGTGCGGTGGGGGGTGGGGGTGGTAGGTGGGTTTCTCCTCGCCTCGCCGTCTAAAACTCCGTGGAAGCCGCAACCTGGCTTGGTTCACCTCAGAGGTTTCCCTGCTGTCCGCCGCCGTCTCCAGAACGAGGCGTGAGGAAGGGGAGCGCGGGCGGACGGGCGGGGGGGGGGGAAGAAGGGACTACTCACCTGGGGCCGGTGCTTGGCGTTTCAGCGACGGTGGCGGTGGTGGCGGTGGTGGTGCGAGCCCGGCTGCCGCATTTCCTTGGAGCAGCAGCCCGGGGACTCCCGTTTGCCATTCTCCTCATCCTCAGCAGCAGCAGCAGCAACAGCATCGCCGTCTTGCCGTCGCCTCCTCCGTCTCCTCCTCCTCCACCACCTCCTCCCGGCGCCACCTTCCAGTTCGTCGGGCTTCGTTGTTCCCGCTCGGTCCAGAGACAGACCTTGCAGCCAGAGACGGGCTCGTAGCCGCGCCGCGCGCCACGCGCCACTGCCTGCCTCCACATCTGGAACCTGGACGCGCGCGCACGGTTTCCAAAAAAAAAAAGAAAGAAAGAAAAGGAAGAAGAAGAAGTGGGGGGGGGGGGAGGGAGCGAAAGGCAGACCGGGAACCCGTCGCGCCTCGCAGGTGGAGGGACCCTGGGCGCCCCGTCGCGAATTGACCTCGCTCCTGCTTTTAACTGTGAGGAGGGGGCGACCGAAGCCCTGATTGGATAAGGATTCCAGCTACCCTGCAACCCTCACCTCTGCCATCCTCCCCCCTCCCCCCCACCGTTCAAGGAGCGAACAGGGAGGCGCTCCCCCACCCCAAAGAAATGCCCAGTGGATACATCTGGGGTATTTGAAGGATCTGGAGGGCTCCAGGATTGGGTGTACAGTTAGTCCTCAATGTACAACAGTTTATTTAGTGACTCTTCAAAGTTACAAGGAAGGACTCCCTGGAGAAGAGCCTAATGCTGGGAAAGATTGAGGGTAAAGGCGATCAAACCAGTCAGTCCTAGGGGAGATCAACCCTGATTGCTCTTTAGAAGGCCAGATCCTGAAGATGGAACTCAAATACTTTGGCCACCTAATGAGAAGGAAGGACTCACTGGAGAAGAGCCTAATGCTGGGCTTTAAAGATTGAGGGCAAAAGAAGAAAGGGAGGACAGAGAATAAGGTGGCTGGATGGAGTCACTGAAGCCTTAGGCGTGAGCTTAAATGGACTGCAGGGGATGATAGAGGACAGGAAGGCCTGGCGGAACATTGTCCATGGGTCAGACATGATTTTGCAACTAACAACAACAACAAAGTTACAATGGTACGTGACTTATGACAGTTGCAGCATCCCCTTGGCCATGTGATTTACATTCAGATGCTTGACAACTGACTCATATTTATGACGGTTGCAGTGTTCCTGTGTCATGGGATCCCCTTTTGCAGTCTTCTGGCAAGCAAAGCCAATGGAGTAACCAGATTCACTTAACGACTGGATTACTAATTTAACAACTGCAGCGATTCACTTAACAAAGGTGGCAAGAAAAGTTGTAAAAGGGGGCAAAACTCACTGAAGAAATTTCTCACTTAGCAACATAAATTTGGGGCTCAGTTGTGGTCATACGTTGAGGACTACCTGTATGAAGCAGCGTTTTCTGCCCCTATAAAAGCCGGGTCCACCACCAAATCTGTTGAGGATGGAAAGACCCAATTGTTGCGCAGGGTTTTGAGAAGTTTGGACTATGGAATTGACCCACTTCGATCCAGATCTGCTCAAGAAGCGAGCTGAGGCTCAGGATCTTTCAGCCTAAAAACCATTGCTATGTATTTACTATTGCAGATGATCCATAATTCCTCCTGCTACTGAAGTTTTGGTAAACCACAAAGTGCAGTTTGCATGGATTGTTGCAGCACAGGCAGCTGCCACATTGTCTTGCATGTGTGCGTGGCAATTGGGGGAGGTGCCCGGGCTTCACCCAGCCCCAGTTTTGGTTATCTCACAGTGATAGGGTTTGGGCATGATTGCATACAGGCCCCAAGACAGTACCTTCATGTTAAGCCATCCTACAGCAAGCACAGAATCAATAAGCTTAGAGTGTATTCTTCTGAAGGAAAAAGGGAGGATTACCACTTGGTATCGAACTGAAGGAGTGCAAAGGACCCGTTTGTGGCTGGTGGATGGATAGTTAATGGTGGAAATAATGTTTTGCTCCTCAGTTGCCCAGAAAGGGCAGTCTATCAGTTCTCAAGAGAAAAATGCCTGTTCTTATTTTGTCCTGCTGTTCTAAAGCATTGTCTTGCTTCATTTGGTGAGATCAGAAAACATGGGTGGTTTAAAACAGTGGATAAGCTGCCCTGTGCATTTTAACTCTCTAGAACAGTGATGGCAAACCTTTTATCCACTGAGTGCCCAAATTGTGTGCGTGCGCATGCTCAAACTGAAAAGTGTTTGTGCAAGCACGCAAACACGCACATGTGTGGACATGCGCACATGCATGCATGGACGTGTGTGCATGCGCAGCAGAGACCCGAAGACCAGCTGGCTGGGGGGAAGCGGGGCATCCCAACATTGGCAGCGCAGCAAGAGATAAAATCTTTTTCTTTTGTGAGCTTCTCTTTTGTTCTTTGCAGGGAAACAGAAACTCATGAAAGAAATGCCACGGAGATCTGACCTGAACATCTGAAGGAAAGTACTGTGGATCGCAGAAATTACTTATAGGGTTGTGAACAGGTTGCACTTACTGGAAGTGCACAGATCTTAAGCTTGCCAAAATTGAGAAACACTGTTCTAGAAGACCCGTGAGACAACTTTGCTAACCTTTTGTCCTTGGTTCTGAGGGGAAGATGTTTCCAGGAAAAAAATTGTAATTGTGCAAATTGCCTTTACAGAATTTCACAGGAGTCCAAATAATCATCCCTTCCTTGCCCACTGCTTCTTCCCTTTCCTCTCTCCTTGTGATTGAATAATTGTTAAGGGTTGAGAAGGCAGAACAACCGTCTCTTGAGCAGCACAGGACTCATCACAACCAGAGCAAAAAGCAGGGAAGAAGAGGATACAGAACAGCTTTTGAGGGGGCCACAACAGAAAAACCATTTCTATCCCCTTTGACCAATTTGTTCCTTGCAGCATCTCCTGAAAGGATTGTGGAGCATCTCCTGAAAGGACTGCAGAGCAGTGGTCACCAATCGCAAGAAAAATTTGGTGGGCCGCAGAAAATTTATTTGCATTTTTTATATTGCACTAAATACTATTTATCTTTTTTTNTCTACTTGCATTTTTACATGCTTTTGAACTGCTAGGTTGGCAGAAGCTGGGACAAGTTACAGGAGCTCACTCCGTTACGTGGTGCTAAGGATCTGAACCGCCAAACTGCCAATCTTTCTGATCGACAAGCTCAGCGTCTTAGTCACTGAGTAATAAACTATTAATGTCCTCTCATCTCGGCATATTTTCCTTCTGCTGTAATCAAATGCTTCCATGCTGGAAGCTGGAACTCCGCACGATCTGATTTCTAACTGATCAAAGGCACTGTGTATAGGGGGGGAGGGGGGGGGCTCGCTACTTGCAGGCAAAGGCTTTGTTCTTCCTTCATCCCCTGAGTGTGACGTATGCAAGACCTAGTCACCAATTTTCACATGGAACTAGAACAGAGGGCTGGAGCAGAATTAGAAGGAATTTCTCTTGCAGCTACAGAGAGTCCTTGAGTTATAACCATTCATTTAGCAAAAAAGTGACTTACGACCGTCCTTGTACTTACAACCCTCGTGGCATCCCCAGAGTCACATTGATCGAAATTCAGATGCTTGGCAACCAGGATGTGTTTATAAAGTTGCAGTAGAGATAGTCATCAGTCTACATAAAACGCAGCCAGACTAATAATTCCCAAGTCCCTCTTGGTGTTTTTGTGTGTCTGTTTGTTTAGGGATGTGGTGGCTCAATGGTTAAGAAGCTGAGTTTGTCGATCAGAAAGGTTGGTGGTTCGGTGGTTTGAATCTCTAGCACCGCATAACAGAGTGAGCTCCCGTTACTTGTCCCAGCTTCTGCCAGCCTAGCAGTTCGAAAGCACGTAAAAAATGCAAGTAGAAAAATAGGAACCGCCTTTGGTGGGAAGGTAAAAGCGTTCCGTGTGCTTTTGTTGTTTAGTCATGCCGGCCACATGACCATGGAGACATCTTCTGGCCCTTCAGCTTAGAAACAGAGATGAGCACCGCCCCCTAGAGTCGGGTTATTCAAGCTGTGCCATTAGCACATATATGCGAGGGGAACCTTTCCCTTGTATATGCAACATTATGGGCTAATGGCACAGCTTGAATATTGAGAGCATGTTTGCAGATAGTCCTTTACGACAATTGAGCCCACATTTTCTGTTCCTAAGTGAAACATTTGTTAAGTGAATTTTGCCCTTTTACAACCTTTCCTGCCATGATTGTTAAGTGAATCACCGTAGTTGTTAGGTTAGTAACACGACTGTGAAGTGAATCTGGCTTTCCCATTACTTTGCTTGTCAGAAAGTCACCCCCCCCAAAAAAAAATTGATTCCGTGACCCTGGGTCACTGCAGCGGTCATAAATATGAGTCAATTGCCAAGCCTNTCACTGAGTAATAAACTATTAATGTCCTCTCATCTCGGCATATTTTCCTTCTGCTGTAATCAAATGCTTCCATGCTGGAAGCTGGAACTCCGCACGATCTGATTTCTAACTGATCAAAGGCACTGTGTATAGGGGGGGAGGGGGGGGGCTCGCTACTTGCAGGCAAAGGCTTTGTTCTTCCTTCATCCCCTGAGTGTGACGTATGCAAGACCTAGTCACCAATTTTCACATGGAACTAGAACAGAGGGCTGGAGCAGAATTAGAAGGAATTTCTCTTGCAGCTACAGAGAGTCCTTGAGTTATAACCATTCATTTAGCAAAAAAGTGACTTACGACCGTCCTTGTACTTACAACCCTCGTGGCATCCCCAGAGTCACATTGATCGAAATTCAGATGCTTGGCAACCAGGATGTGTTTATAAAGTTGCAGTAGAGATAGTCATCAGTCTACATAAAACGCAGCCAGACTAATAATTCCCAAGTCCCTCTTGGTGTTTTTGTGTGTCTGTTTGTTTAGGGATGTGGTGGCTCAATGGTTAAGAAGCTGAGTTTGTCGATCAGAAAGGTTGGTGGTTCGGTGGTTTGAATCTCTAGCACCGCATAACAGAGTGAGCTCCCGTTACTTGTCCCAGCTTCTGCCAGCCTAGCAGTTCGAAAGCACGTAAAAAATGCAAGTAGAAAAATAGGAACCGCCTTTGGTGGGAAGGTAAAAGCGTTCCGTGTGCTTTTGTTGTTTA